TTGACCACTGTCTGCTGTCACCACGTATTAACGTCAACCACAGGCTGTCGAAGACTATTACTTGCAACTGTTGTAGTTAGACTAGAGTTGTTATTGAATTTTCTGACACTTGAATTTTGTGTGTGTGTTCAATTTTCGTACAATGCTAAGACAATAAATCACTCTGCGAATTTAATTTTTGTCATGTAACAGTTCTCATTTATTTACATATGTAGCACCTAATATTCATATTCGCGTGCGCAACACTCAGTTTTTAACATCTACCATGATGACTATTTTCAAAAAATAAAATACATTGTTTCATGCACAAATTTATGCCACTAATTTATATAATCATGTAAGTGTATGCTTGTCACATTGGCCTTGTGGTTGGCTGTTTTGTCTTTCAACTGTAATATCTCGAATTCAAGGTCTTAGAAATGCGGTGTCCGTAAAAAATTAAATTAGTGTAAAGATCAAACTTTACGTGGCTCATTGCATGCACATGATGTTTATATATATATATATAAGAAAAACAGTTGTGCAGGAGCATATCATATAAATAGTTTTGTGAGATATGATGTCTATATGTTTGAGCCTTTTTAAATATACAATATTTTGAATACTTATTTCATAACATTATAATTAAATTTATCTTGTAACATAATAAAAATAAATGGTCAATTAATAAGCTTATGACCACAAGTATGTAAGAGAAGTTGATGTTGGTCATAGAATTAAGTGAAATTATATTATTAACTACAAATAAGGAGTGAAAGCCAAATGATGTATAATGAAGAGGGTAAAACATCATTCCAAGCTAAAATTTAAAAGAATCCAAGTCATATGAAAAAGGCACACATGATGAATGATCGCATCAAGTTCAATAATTGGATTGACAACAAAGATGAAAAAATCTCGTTTATCTATAGCACATATTTAAGGAATAGATACACTCACCTATAGAAGCTTATGAGACATTTTATTCAAAATCTAAGGTCTATACTAGACAGTTTTTTACATGTTTTATTGTTCAGACTGTCACCATAGTACTGTTTGAGAAACTATTTTTTTGTTGTTTTCTAGATATTTCAATGGTAAGAACCTGTTTTTCCAACATGAGCTGTGGATATAAAGTTATCATGAAAAATTTAACTAGAGATTATATATCATTACATTCCAGAGGACAAAGCACTTAAAAAACCAATAGAAAGAGCATCAACACCAACCAACCCATAGCGTAGATTTTACTTAATATTATTGAATATTATAATTATTTTGTTATGATTAAAAAGTAATAATCGGACCAAAAAAATATTTAAAAAAAACTTCAAAACATATATGGTTTCATAAAATTCTCTCCACTCCAATCATATAGATTAACTCAAAGCTTCAAAAGACACCTCAAAGCCTTCCCATCTGAAAGCAATTGAAAGGCTTGGTTGATCTCAGAGAAGGGCAGCTCATGAGATATAAACCCATTCAGATTTATTTTAATTTCCTGCATTCAAAATAATCATATTAATCCTTATACTTCATATATAAATAGAACCATATAAATAATATTATTACAAGAAGATAAAATTTCATAACCACAAAAGAATTAATGAGTTGTATAATACTAACCTCAGTTAAGCACTTGCTGATTAAATCTGGCAACTGAGACTTTGGTTTGAAGTCGCCAAACACAGCAGCGACTATCTTCCTCTCAAACAGCTCCATAGGATGCAGCGGTAGTAATTTAGGTGATGGGTGGACTCCCAGAATCACGGTTAATCCCCAACCCTATGGTTAACCATCAAATATAAGAAAGAATTATTTGATAATTAGTGTATAGTCTAAACTTTCTCCAAGAGTTAAATATACAAATATTTTATTAAATATAAGATTACCAGATGAGTTGACAGAAAAGCCTCGCGAAGAACATCTAGATTCCCAGAGCACTCAAAGCTGTAATCAACTCCACCTTCTGTCAATTCCCTCAGCACCTGCAATCCACCATTCATCCATTAATGATGTTGAAATTCTTATCTGTATTTTAAATGCTGCTCATTTGGCAGCTAGAAAATTTTAATGCTTGTGGTCCGTAATTGCTCTGTTTCTTAAATGTTGAACAAATCAAATTATGCAAAAAGACCAACACAACCATATCATTAAAATAAGTAAATAGATAATTTAATGACAACCTCATGTAAGGGTTTTGTGCACTCCATTGGGTTTATGAAATCTGTGATACCCATTTCTCGTCCTACAAAAAACATAGAAAACCAAGCAAGCGGTGGAAAGGAAAGATTAGCTGAATCGATAAGAAAAAAGGCTTTAAAAATTAGATTTTTTTTTATTAGGATAAGTTTTAGGACTAGTTGATATATTTTTAGATAAGAGTAATATAAATTTTAATTATTTTTTCATATATGACACTCATATGATCAATTCAAATTCAAACATTAAGAGAAATGTTAATATAAGTTGGTCAAAATAATCTAACATAAATATTTTACCGTTAAATAAATCTAAATAGTATTTAAATTTGAAAAATATATTCATTTTTTAAAAATTATTGCAAAAATAACTTGAAGAGATGTCCTTAGTGATAAGTTTTTAATTATATTCAACAAAAAAAATTAATAATTATGATTAAATAATTATTTTTAGTCACAAATATTCCTTGATAATCATCAATTCCTACAATTAAAAATTAAAAAAATATTGCTAAAATACATTACTTATATTTTTTATTTTTTAAAAAATATTATCACTCAAAATTTGGTAGAATATTAATTTTGTATTAGGAAGATAACATATTTATTGGTATATAAACATAATTATGTAGGTACAAGGTTAATCGAACAGTTTATAATCCAATATTAATTACTAATTAATTATTTTTCTTATTAATTTTAATTAAATGCTAAAATCTTAAAAAAAGAATTAAAAGGACGAATTCTCAACAATGGAAGCACGACTTTCATTTAATTTCTTAAACCTATATTTGTGCTTAAGAATTTGTTTTAGGAAAATTTACATACATACCACTCAATGCATATACATGTATTTACATATCTAACCCTCATACTTAAATTTTTACATACATGCCCTCTATCAATGCATAAAAAGAAATGATGATATTTTATGTGAAATGAAGATTTGGATGGTAAATATAAAAACAAAAATTTTAGGTATTCGACATGCAAAAACATAAGAATTGGGTGGTTTGTATGTAAATGCCCCTTTTTTATTATTTCTCTGAACTTTCTCGTGCAGTACCGACAGATGATGTAATTTACTGAAGAAAAAAACACAGAAACTTCTTCAAAATATTTAATGTTACATTTGTCTTTATTCATATACTTCAGCACATGATATATGTTTTTTAAATTTCTATTGGTTTTCTAACGCAATAATTATAAAAAGGTACCTTTCACAAACTTATTTGGATTAATGTCAATTCCAATGATCCGGGCAGCTCCTCTCAGCCGTGCTCCTTCGGCAACCTATTAAACATCGCGCCCCCCATACCATTTAATAATTTAGATGTTTGAAACGAATGTAATTTACATTTTGTTTTGGGGCAGATTATAAATTTTAATATTTTTACAAATATTAGCAAAGATCCTCACAGCAAGACCCACTGCTCCGAGTCCGAAAATTGCAACCTTTGACCCCTTCTCCACGTTGGCTGTGTTCCACGCCCCTCCAATCCCTTGTCATTTTAAGAAGGGAAAAAAAACAATTTTTATTTACTTTTATGTATTATAGGACTAAAATGAAATATACAATTAATCAGGGACTATTGTAATATCTTGCCAAACAATATTTTATTTACACTTTCATACCCGTAGAGATGCCGCAACTGAGAAGGCACATTCGGCTGAGCGGCGCGTCGGTGGGGACTCTCACCACACAGGCGGAGTCTATGACCGTGTATTCGGCGAAGGTGGACGTGTTCAAGAAGTGATGAACGGGCCGTCGCTCTCCATCGGGCCCAACCCAGTAGAATCTGACCCTCCCGTCGGCCCGCATCACGCTCCGCATTGCGTCCACCGCGTAGCCGGCGCACATATTGGTCTTCTCAGATCGACACGCAGCACAATCTCCGCATTCGCCGTTGAAAACCGGCACCACTCGGTCACCCGGTCTCAAGTCCTCAACGCCCTCCCCCACGCTCTCCACCACCCTAAATTAATTAAATGAAGGTAGATTAGTGCTTAATTAGCGTTTTAATTATAATTAACATGTAAGCATATATAAATTATTTACCCCGCCGCCTCGTGGCCCAGGACACGAGGGAAGACCTGTTGTTGTTTGTTCTGCGCGAAAAAGATTGATTTTATTATATTAGATAAGATAAATTAATATGAAAACAAGCAAAAACAATATTAAACATTTTATTATATTTTATTTCGGCAGATAAACATTTTGTTATATTTTATTTAAATGATGATATTTTTTAAAATTATAAATAAACTTCTTAAATTTCTAATTCTAAATATTTTCCCATTTATAAGTAATATTTTTTAAATATTAAGTCTGTATTGAACAACTGATTCATTCTTTACAGAGTACTTACGCAGTTCTGAGTGCGGACTCCAGTAATATGCACTCACGTGGAAATTATTATGGGATTTTTGACGTGAAATTGTGAAGGCTATTGAGGAGTTATTGGGGGATTATTGGGCGTTAATGCAGGTGATATTAAAATGAAACTGATGAAACTATTTGGTGGTTATTGGAGTAGAACCGCAAAGGTTATGAAGAAGTTATTGAAGGTTTATTACGGTGTTATTGGAGTTAATGCCCCAATAACGCCTCAATAAACTCAATAATCTTCCCAAATAATCTTCATGAATCCACTCTATTAACCTTTGAGGTTTCACTTTAATTATTTTTTAGGTGAATCCAATATAATATTAACACAATAAGGAGGTATATTGCTAGAGACCACATGTAAAGCTATGTAAAGCTATGTAAAGCTACATAAGTATTCAGTACGGGATAATTTCTCCTAACTTTGTTAGTACCTCGCCCTTCCAAGCGCTGAGGTCGGTGTGGCAAATCGAGGTGAAGAGAATTCGAATCCGGACTTCCATGCGCTGAGGAGGCTCCACCTCTATTTCCTCCATCTTGAAGGCTTCTCCAGGTCCCCAAACCACAGCCGCTAAATTAACCACAGAAATTAATCAATTAATCACTCATTAATTGAAAAAGCTCTTGCAGCTAAAACACTTCTAAAAAAGTGATTACGATCCTAAGTGTGAATTACCTTTGCATGTGATAACTTTTCCGGCCGTTTTATCTCCGGCGTCCCCGTTCTCTCCGGCGTGGAAGCCATTGGTGTTCTCTGAGTTGAAGCCCGCCATCTCTGTTATCCTTCTGTGTTTTCTGTGTGCTATTCGCTGTGCAGATGGGGATGGCCATAAATAGGGAAGATAGTATGGATGGGGATCTAATTATCTATGGTCATCTAGCTGAATTGGTTGAGGAATTTATTAATCAAATTTGACCGAAATTAAATTTTAGAAAAAATAGGATAAACAAAATCATAAGTGGAATCCAATCAGTCCAAGTCATTGGGTTTAGCCAATTTTCTTTTCTGAAACCAAATTAGTACTTTAATTCAAAGCAGAAAACAGAACAACCATAACTTCTAGATTTTAATGGAAGGAAATTTACATAACCAGCACACAATTCTTACGTATTTACATTATCCGCACCCAAACTTTCAAATTTACGTTGTATAGCATTTTGGTGTTTTAAATCTGTGCATTAGAATGTGTATTTCACTTTTAAAAGGTGGCAATTAATAGTATTTTTATTATGTGATATTGAAAATTTGAGTGGAATGTGTGTGAATATAAAAGTTTATGGGTGAGACTTGTAAATACATAAGAAGAGTATGGTAATTATGCAAATGCTCTTTTAATAAATCAATTAATTATATTCCTTAGATTAATTTTTTTATTAAATTTAATTAATATACAGTCTGAATATGAGTGAAATTTTATGTCAAAATAACTTGGTTTAATTTAATTAATTTACATATGTATCACTCAATTCTTATGTATTTACATATTGGCATCAAAATTTTAAATTTTACATATATATA